GCGTTTTCAACGAAAATGAGTTTTAATTGCAACTTTTCCTAATGCTGCCATCACACGAAACGAGACGAGAGAGAGAGACAGAGTTTCCTCCCCCTACACTACCCCACCCAGCATGTGGAGTTCAAAATCGAGGGTTTCCTATACTAGCAGACCAGTTCGTTGGAATTTCTGAACACGTATTCCTCCTAAATGGTGGAAAATTATGTTCTTTATGATAATTCGTATGAGTAAGTGCGGGTTCTGGGCTCTCAGTCTACTACTGTTCTGCGCTTGTTTAAGTTTTCCATTCAAAATTCGGAGCCTAACTCCGATTTGTTGATTGACCAGGAACCGCAAATTGTGCGGTCTGCAAAATGAATATTTAGCCTGTTTACCTAACCGGAAAATGTTGGGAAATTCCTAACAGCAAATGCATTTTGTCAGATATTTATTTTTCTATTTTTAGTAAATATTATAATGGAAACTTAATAATAGTGTTAAATTAGGAGATATTTGTTAGAGATTTTCTGTTATATTTTGTACAAATTTAACCAGTTAAGTCTTACTAAGTCCTACATGGCTTCAGGGTCCAGTTTAATTTAACAAAAGATATAAAATTCCATAAAAAAAAAGCTTACATTAAACGCATTTTCTGCCTGTAACCGATAAAGGTTCGTTAAAAAAAAAACCGAAAAAAAAGCTTACAGTTTTTCCATTGTATTTCATACATTTATTTGCTTTCCCTTAAATGATGCAAATGAATCCCATTTTTTGCCATCTTCAATGGTTGGCAACAACCAATATACCCCCTCCTCTCCCCTCTCTCCTTCAAAAAAATACGCAGCTCAGAAATTGCCAGTGCCCCGAGGTAGCAGCGGTAGCAATGCGTGTGTCTGCGTATTTGTTTTTAATTAAAATAAATATTACCATAACCTATAAAATAATTGAAAAACAATTTAGCATTATTGCGTGCAGGTTGGCCACATTCGAGGCAGAGATGAACGTCTGACTAAAGGCCACCCCGCTCCGCCCCCTTGAATTTTCCCCCTAGGAACTGCACATGATTCTTCGGCATGTCTGTGCCCGGTGTGTATTTTCCGATTTCTGTTTACTGTTTGTCAGTCGTCGTTGAGGTTGCAAGTTGCAACTTGCCACAGCCATGGGCCCTTGAAATGGTGGAGGAGTAGCCAGCGGATTCGCAGCAGATTTACACGCCTTTATTTACCCACTCGGACCAAGTCGAAGGGGATATAGATTCAGTAAGAGATTTAAGTCGATTTTAAATACTCTTTCTTTACTTTAAAATAGAGTTTTTATAAAGTTATTTTCCATCTTATCAGTTTTTGTAAAAGTTGCAGAAGCAACTTAACTAATTTGAAATAAATTTTTAATATTTTCTCTTAAAAAATAATATTTAATTAAGCTTTATTAAGCCCTTATTATATTGCAGAGTACTTATGCTAACGACTTTCCCATTGACCCACTTCTTTTTCTTTCCATTTTGATTTTTAATTTAAAATATTTTTGCAAAAGTTTCGAACGCACTTGCCCAACCACCCACCCACACACATGCTCATACACCCAAAGCATTTCCCGCATGTTGGGAAATTTCGTTTACTTTGTGGGTCTTATATTTTGACATAATTACACACACACACCCTCGCATTTATATATATTTTTTAATTTTTATGCATCGTTCTCAGATTGGTAATGTGCGAAAAATGAAAATAAAAAAACAAAAGTCTTCTTAAGCTACAACAACAATTATAATAATTATTTAATTAAAAATTCTGTCGCTTGAGTTGCTGCTGCAGTGGCTGCTTGCCGCTTGATTTTTCCCCTTTTTTCCCGGCGATTTTTGTTTAACAGAAATTGCATTTACGAGTGTTCTGGCACTTGAGAGAAAAATTAATCTGTTTTAAGTGTAAAAAATATCTGTGGAGGAGGAAAAGTGGAAATAGTAAGCCTTAGTACAGCCCTTGAAAGTTAATGATTCCCTAACAAAATCATATATTAATAATCTTCCTTACCTTTAACTAACATTTCGAAATCCGATATAGTTATCTGATATTTCTGTTGTCCTCCTTCCTTAATCCTCGTCCAACATTATTGCAATCTTAAACCTTCTTGCTTTCTTTGTTAGGCAACTCCCTTGCCTTGAGATTTCCCAATATGACCTCATTTTCTGCCCCATATAGAGAAACAATCGAGGAAAACAATTGCCCAAAACGCGGTAGCCTGTCAGATTGATTACCACTCGATTGTTTGAGAAAGCAGACTCTTGCACAATCCGTAAGGGGAACACTGGAAATCTACATTCGACTGCCATGATGATTGACCATAATGAGTTGAGTTTTCTTAGGTAGATCACGCCCGGCAGTCTTGATTTCCAACAAATGACATTCGTATGGCAAGAGAGAGGGTGAAAGAGAGAGAAAGAAGCATAAAAATTCGCATTAAATGGACAAAAACAGTTGCAATTGTACTTCGTTGTTCTTGGGCACCTTTGTATCTCTCTGTGCGGATGGATGCCTGTTAATCTCTTATAACATTTCCATTAATACGCAGTTGGTAGTCTTTTGGTAGGCCCTTCCTTCAGACCCTTCCCTAACACACTTCGCCCTGCCAATGCCGCCAAATGATGAGAAATTAATGCGAGTCGAGCAGAGGAGAACCAAGCCCCTGAGCTCACAGCATGGTACTAGCGTCACGGTATTCTCCTCTCAGTCATCTCAGCTCAGCGGGACAATTGGGCCCAGGTTATTGTTGGGAAATTTCACAGCACTCGGCATGGGTCCAAGGCAGTAGAGGTATGAACACCAAGACCTCTAAGGCCCAGCTCCCTTGTTGGCTCAGTTATGGCCATTGTAAGGTGTAACAAAAAACCCAAAAAGATGAGCGCAAACACAAATTTTTGTCAAATGAAAACTGTCTTTCTGGGCACTTTATGGGTTTTCAGCAAGGAGGCAAGGAGAAGAGGGAGGGGAAAAACCGATCTGCGGCTGGGTGTCTTCACGCCCCGGGCTTAAGTTTCACGTGTTACCTGCTGCCTGCTTGGGTTTTATAGCCGACCATGACTAAATGGGGTGATAAGTGAATCGGACTTAACTTTAGGCATAGATTAGGCACTAATCTGAAGAGATTTCTTAAGGTTATCATCAACTCTTAATGCAAAGATTTTTAATCCAAAAAGTACCAGAATTTCCCTTAGAATAGTTTTCTTTTTTGACTTAAAAGTAACCAACCGCCGAAAAGTTAACACTATGTAATTGTATCAGCTGCTTTGTAAAGCGGAAAAATGAAATTACCAATTTCCAAAGAAGACAGCCAGAAGAATGAATTTAAGTGTTAAATCTAGCCTTTCTTTTTCTTTCCTTCTTCTAACCCTCTCTCCCTCTCTCTTACCACTTTTTTTAAACAACAAAAAAAAAAAAAAAAAACTCATCGGTTTCGCCCCCAAAGTTTGACCCCCAGAAAAGACATTCAAGACCACGTTAATTGAGCTTCGAGTGAAGACCAAAAGCCAAGCTATAGATAACAACATCTGATAAATAGCGGGCCGAATCGAAAACGAAATCTCAATCTCTCTGAACTCTGGAAACCTTGTCGGTTTCTCTCGCTTTGGAACAATTGTGAAATGCTTTAATTTCTGAAGTACCTTTAATGAGCATTTTCAACATGGTCATCATACAATCCAGTCAGCCAGTCAGCCAGAAAGTCAGCCATCCAGCCAGATGGGCCACAATGGTCTTCAATATTTGGACCAGTGTCTGGCTTTCGGTTCGATAATTATTGCCTTTGGGTAAAGCTGGGACTTCAACTTGGTCGTTCGGTCAGAACGAGCCCACAATCTGTGAATGTATCTCGGTGTTGGATTCGGTATCTTATCGAAGTATCTGATGTATCTCTCTGTGTATGTGTGTGTGTTGAGGCGAATTAATGATTACATTCGCTTTTGCCACGATGCTTGATCCACTAACCCTTGCCAGCGGCCCCTTCGGTAGCTCTTTCACTCAACTGGGGGCCCCATGAAAGGAAATTGTAATGATCGAAATCAAAATGTTTTCGTTACTTTGCCTCCTAATGAAGCTTGAATAGTGCGAATGACTCTCAACTCTTAACTCTCTTTTCTCTCTGACTCGCTTTGGTAACCATTCTTGAGTCTTGAAACTTGAGTACACGCGCCTTTTAATCGAAATTTGATGATGGATTCCCCGCTAGCAAACGAAAATCAGTCAGAGGTTGAGTATCTGGTCTTTGCCGACTTTATTGTTAGCCATTTGGTGGGCTTGGTTCTGGCCGCTATTTGCCTTTTGTTATTTATTTATTGTTATTACCGTACTTTTGGTCGCTGCAAGTTCTGGAATGATTTCTATTTTCGTAATTGTCTAAATAGCTTACGATTTGGCTTGAAATTGAGCAGTTTGAGGGAGATGGAAAAACTACAGTTCTTGAGGGTTCTTCCCAGGGGCCAACTTCGATGGTGAGTTGGCAAGTTTCTGGTTCGTCAGGCGACAGCTGCATTTGCAGGTGACAATGAACGGGGTGTAGAGTCATGCTACATGCAGCAGTTAGTTGCAAGCACATGTGTTTTTCCCGTGCACACATTCAATGGAAAATTATATACCCTTCAACCCTACTTCGATCCCCACTACTTGCCACGCTCTGCTTGAGACTCGGGTCTGCAAAAGTTTTTTCAAGCTTGTTACTATTGAATAATAGTATATTAATTTTTTAGCCAACCCGGAGCGTAGCTTGGCATGCAAGCCCTCAACTTACTTTTAATTGAATTGAAAGTCAAAAGTTTTGAGCCCGTGGAAATGGGAAAAAGTGAAAATGTCGAGACAAATTGACACAGAGGAAAAGTTGCCGGTGCAAACAGAAAATGTTTAATTAAAGGCAAATTTCCATGGATGTGAAAAACTGCGGGATGGCTGAAAGAAAAAAAAAAAGAAAAGCTGCTAAATTAAAAGCAGAATGAAAGGCAGAACACAGTGGTAATTTTTTTTGTTTTTCAATTTTCATTGCGTTTATATTTATATTTCTCAGTTTTTCATGTTTTCATTTTTCATTTTTTGCGTTTGATATTTTGTTGTTGTTTTTCGCTTAAATTTGCATAAATTTCTTGTTCTAACTAATACATAAATAGTTTGTTTGCATTTGATTCGATTTTGCATTTAACAATAAATTAAATAATTTAAAATTAAGCTTACAATGACTCTCAGTGCTTTGTTGTCTTTAGTTTATCTAAACTCGTATAATCATTTACAATTTAATTTTAATGGCTATGATTAACTTATGCTCGTAGGTGGGGGACGAGGGGAAAACAGTAGTGTTGGCAAAGTGCTGATAGGAGATCCTTCAGTGTTCTTTAGGTCTTCGAAAGAGTGCTTTAAAGTTAAGTATTTACAAGGCAAGATTTTCATTGACTTAATGCCTAAGTTTTCTATTATTATTACAGCTACTACAATGTTTTCCTTAATCCTAGACTAAAAGCTAAGTGTGTTTGGTGGGGGAGGGATAGGAGAAGGAGTGGGGATTTTGGCATCACAGTGTTGGGCAGCGGTCTACTAAGCATAGATGCTTAGTTGCCTGCGTCGATAGGTTGAGGATCAGTGCGTGAACTGACGCAGGGTATTGTTGTTCTGCTGCTGCTGTTGCTGCTTCTGGGAGGCGGACTTTTGCTGAAAGGATCTACGGCCAGTGGTGGCACACAGTCCATTCCTTAGGGGCAATGCTGGTGGCATGGGTGGCGGTGTGGGTGTCTTGCTGCGACCTAGTTGCTCCAGCGGCATCGAGTAATGGGTATTACTGTAGATGTAGTTATGATCCAGGATCTCGCTATTCATCTCCTGGTCGTACATCTCACGCTGCTTGAAGTGCTCCTGAGTCAGTCGCAGTTGCGGCTGATTTGTGGCAGTCAATGGGACACCATGAACCATGGGCACATCCGCATACGAGTAGCACGAGTCACCCACTGTTGCCGTGGCCGAAAGGAACTGCGGCTTGGTATAGTGATTGAGTTGGGGATTCTGCTGATGGACATCTCGTCCCATGGTGGCCGACTTCATGTGCAGCACAAAGGAGGCACTGTCATCGATGACTCCTTGGGATGCCATAGACTTATTGTTATTCAACTTCTTCTCACTGACCATGGTGGCAGTGGGCACGGCCAATTGCTGGAACTTCTGCTGAGGATCGACGGCGCCCAGGTCATTAATGGGCATTGGGCACATTCCATAATGATGTGTTGTTCCGGGATGATGAGGGGCCGTGTAGGTGTTGGGGAATGTAGAGTGAATGCCCAGGGAGCAGGGATGATGCTGGTGACGCGACATGTAGTCCTCATCGCAGAAGGTCTTCTGGTATTCCCGTTCCTTGCGACCCAAAGCCGAGTTGCCCCACAGACCGCCCTTGATGGTCTCACGGATCTTATGACGGCAACGGTACAGGACCAGAGCCATGGCGGTAATGGTGGCAGCGGATCCAACAAGGAGAGCTCCAATCAAGGCCTGCTTGCGGGGATCGGCATGGGAGCAGCCCATCAAGGCTGGATTCAAATGACGCAAGGATTCGCCACGCAGACGTTCGGGGAACTCACAAATCAGTTCGGAAACATCATCCTGGCTGGCATTCTTGGCCACCAGCAGATTGTGCAGCCACATTACTCGGCAATCGCAGGATAAGGGGTTCTCAGAGAGGTCCAAAGTTTGAAGATCCTTCCAGGGGAACAAGCCCTCAGCCAAGGAAGTCAGAGCATTGGCCTTCAGAACCACATGCTTCAAATGGGGCAGACCACTAAGAGCTCCTTCTTGCACTTCCACTAGCATTTTGTTCGACGAGAGATTCAGATACTCCAGATTGCCATTATCGCTAAAGGCTCCGGTCATCACACGCTTCAGTTTCAGAGCTCCGTTCACCTCCAGGCGTTTAAGTTGCTTCAAGCCAGTGAAGGCACCTTCGCTGATCACCTCAAAGTCATTTTGGCCCAGGGACAGCTGCTCCAAGCGAACCAGTTTGCTGAGACCCACGGATGGGATACGGTCCAGGCGATTGTCGGAAAGATCGAGGATACGCAGCTCCTGCAATCCCAGGAAGCTGTCATGGGAGATGTTGCGCAGACTGGCACCCTTGAGCTCCAGACGCGTAAGACCCTTCAGATCCTGGAAGGCACCAGCCTGGATACTCTGCAGAGTGTTCATGCCGAGGAAGAGTTCAGCCAGACTGGGCATGGCCTGGAAGATGACGGGATCTGGGACGCTGGTCAGGGCATTATCATCCAAATAGAGAATGCGCAGCTGGGAAAGACCATCAAAAGCCTTGGGGTCCAAATAGCCAATGCGGTTCTCGCCCAGATTCAACTCCTCGATTTTCAGTAGTGGTGTAAAGGTGCCCTGGTGGAGTTCGGAGATTTGGTTACCACGCAGATTCAGGACAGTCACTGCCGACAGACCAATGAAGGTCTTATTGCTGATCTGGCCAATCTTATTGTGGTTCAGATGCACCTCCTGCAGCTTCTTCTGGTAGGCGAAGGTGCGCTGCGGGATGGTCATCAGATGATTGGAGGACAGATCAAGGAAGGTCAGCTCAGCGTAGAACTGGATGGACGAGTCAATGGTCTTGATTTTGTTACTCTTAATCACCAGTCGCTGGATGGATGGATTCAGGGCAATGGGCAGCACGTCCAGCTGGCCCTCGCCACATTGCACCACCAGGGTATTATCATCGCACTGACAACCGGGCGGGCAATTGGCCAAACCAGCCGCAGGCTCTACTCCGATGCTGGCCAAAATGCACCAGATGCCCACAAATGCGATCATCATGTTTCGCTGCATCTTCGGTTCTTTGTATCTTTTTCTGCTTTTCTATCTTTCAGTTTGCTGCTCTCTCGGCTGCTGATTTCTTACGATTCTTTTCAGAGTTTTCGTTTTGGGTTTATTTTTTTTTTCAGTTTTCCATAGTGCTGCGGGTAGACAAACGAGAAAAAGATTTTTCGAAAATTAGTTTTTGTCTTTCGAGTGAGTTGAGTTAATTAGCCTATTTTCGTGGAACTATTTCTATTGATTAAAATTTAGAGCTTCTTCCAGCAAACATTTTGTATTTTATGTTTTTGGTAATTTCTCATCTTAACTATATTTTTAGAAGCCGCATTAGGTTGGGTTTCTGGAGAAAACTATTTGGAATTTGGAATTTTCTTGGACTAACTTTGGTTACATTTTTAGAATTTTTAAATATAAATTTCTATATTTTTCAAAAATTTTTCTATAAATTTTATAAACTTTTTCCTCCATCTCTCTCTAATTTTCTTCGTATTTAATTTTTAGCTATTCAAACTTTTTCTATCACAATTTTGCAGTTTCCTAATTTTTCACAATTTATCCCATTTTCCACTGTTTTTCATTCAATTTTTCTACAATTTAAACCACAGTCGAAACTTACCTATTGTTTGTCTTTGAAGATTGTTTGGCAACAATTTCTAGTTTTCAGCAGATCAAATCTTTTGATAAACAGAACTTAAAAAGTGTTTGGTTTTTTGTTTTTTCGTGTGTTTTGTGTTTGAGTTTTCTCACTGTTTCACTTTTTGACAAAATATATTTTTCAGTATAGCCAATTTTGTATGTTTTTTTTTTGTCACATTTGCTTTAAACTAAAACATGTGTGTTTATAAAAATAAAACTTGGTTTGTTTGGTGTTTTTTTTTTTGTTTGTTAAAAATTTGTTGCTGATTGTTTAGGGAAACGTGCGCGATAATCCAATGGTTCGCTTTGACTGCACGCTTCAAGTTGTTGTTAGGCGTTCGACGGGTTTTCTCGTTTAGATTTACGTATATTTCGTGTTACCAACTCTGGTAAGAGAGGAACACTAAGTCGCAATTGGGTCTCTATATAGAAGGCAGACAACCGCTCACGACGAGGCAACGAACTACACTGATTTTACGAAGTGCCTGCTGCACAAACGTTACCTCGGCTGCCCGTTTTTAGCCGGGGTGGTTGAGTGTGGGCAAAAAGAGCGGTGGAGTGGTAGAGCAGTCTAGTGTTAGCGCTGGTGGTGGCAGGCAGCTGCATCGGTTTCTCAAACAAACCAAGAAAGAGAGCCATCCATGCTCAGACGGCCTTGCGAAGGCAAAGTCTCTCTCAGATAAATCCGTCAGCAGGTAGTCGGAACTGGTTATGAGTATGTCAGAGAGAGAGAGAGAGAGAGAGAGAGAGTTCCACTCAAAGTTTTCACTCATTTATCTGGCTATACGCTGGCCATGGCTGGAGAATTACTCTCTGGCAATTGCAACCTACCCGTTGAAGGGGCAGCACGTCCTCGACGAAATGCTGTTGCCTAGAAAAAACTATAAACTAAGACCAAGGACCGACGAAACTAAAACAGCTCAAGTGCTGTGGCATAATTAAGACTCCATAAAAAATGCTTACTCCTCCGCATAAGAAGAAGAAGTAGAAGTATGATGGATATTTATGGGCGGCAGACATGTCCTGGCCTAAGTGGAGTCTTTTAGTGCGGTTTACAGAACCAAATGTGACGCACTTGAAATTGATATTTTTGTATCTGCAAGATGCCCTGACCTAGGCACGAAAAGTGTTGCACCAAAAATATTGTGTCATTTGATACATTTGAGATGCATTTCTCATTCTTGGCATGCAGAGAGCTAACAACTATTTACATGTCGTCAAAAAAGCAAAAAGAAAAACAACAAAAGTGACAACAAGAAAATCAACTTTAAATGGCCATAACTTTGTGCCAACATATGTGGCGGAATCTGAAGAGCAATAGAGCGGGAGAGCGGGGTGCGGCAGCACATTTTCCGGGGCCTTCGGCATGCGGTTTTCCTCTATTTTCCATCACCATCACTCCCCGAAAATCTCTCTCTGCTCCACAGACATAACTGGCATATTTCCTTCTACCAGAATTTCGCACACAAATTTTATTTATCACAGAAAGATGAAAATCTTTTTCGACTGACTTTTTTTTTTTTTTTTTTTTGTATCTCCCATAAACTAACCAATGAGTAAACTCGTTAAACTTATATATTACCCAATTTTGTGGCAACTTTGTGTATTGAGAGTCAAGGCAACTGTTAATAGTGGCATGGCCATTGCATTTTATATAAATTTGATTTGTTGCCTTTTGCTGGCAAGAGGAAAGTCTTCTTTAAAGCAGATCAATATGAACTTTTTAAGACTATCTTTAAGACTATTTATTAAATTAACTTAACTAAACACTTCCTAATAACCCATCTCTCAACTTTTTCTCACACATTGTCTCATTAAAAAAAACTAGAGGAAGTCTTAAAGTTGAGTTTTTTACTCACCAGTTAGGAGAAAGGCTGCACTGCAATGTACTAACATATAAAAACAAATTTAAATGCCAATTCGTTGAGAAATTGTAAACAAAATCCTATTAAGTTGGCTTGTACGAAAGAAGGATCGTTAGCTCGTAAACTGGCAAAGTGCTCTACATATAGAGAGGAAAAACCTGCGTAATTTCCTTTCGAAAAACCAGATCCCAAGGCACACAGTGATTGTTGCACATGCAGTTAACGGAAGTTTGCGTTTTTCATTTTTTTTATTTGCCACAAGCTGGGCGAGACAGGTGCCACAAAGCTTTAGTACTCCCAACTCTCACGTTACACATCGGAAAGCCTCGATCTACCCAGCTCTCAATTTGCGACAATGTGTGAGAATTTCCCAGCAATAAAACCCCAAAATCCAACAACTTAAAATGAAGGCGAGGTGCCTGCTTTATGCTTTATGGCAACTGGAAAAAGGTTTGTTTGTTTGCTGTGTGAGTGCGGCCCAAGTTGCATATGAAAATTGTTTGGCCAAACGCTAAAAGCACTTAAACAATTAGAGGAGGAAACAAAGTGCTTTGGAGGGGGCAGCTTTGTGTGTAATTAGGTAAAACAGCATTTGGTGAAGGGCCATCGACTACTGGTTGTGGCCAGGTAGTAAGCCAAAAATGCAAATAATATGAAAAGTCAAAGATTTTCATTAAAATCTGGGAAAAAATGCAACTGAAAAGTCATTGGTTGAGTTATTAGAACTAAAATGTTTTGCCGATTTCAAATTGTATGCAAAGGAAAACTTTATCTGACAGATTTGCGTGATAAGCCCCGGTACAGAGAGAGAGAGCCAGAGCCGAGGATCGATCGTTTCCTGTAGTAAAATATTGCCCAGATCCAACCATCCAACCATCCAACCAGCCACGCAGCCACGCAGCCTCAGTTTCCTGACCAAATTGGCAATCTTCTGGCTGCTGGTGGTACACGCAAATGGACAAATTTCGAGTTCGAGTTACATAGCCATGGGTTGGTTTACCAATTGCTGGTCCTGCAATTGCTTTTGGGCCAATTAAATGGGCTAGAAACATACCTTTAAGCCAAACTGAATATATATTCAAATAAAGTTAGTTGATTTGAAATGTATTAAATATTATTATTTAATTTTAAATAATAAAACAACAATTATTTAAGGTTTTTATGAACAAATTTGAGCACTATTTTAGCCATCATTGAAGGACTTTGCCAACGGGTTTTTCTCAGTTCGTCGTTTTTGTATAGGTCGATGAAGACGAATTGGAAGAACTTGAAGAATGTTGATCTGAAAATGTTTCAGTGAACTTTTTATTTGGTTCGGCTTCCTCTTCTTTGGAGTCTTCTAAAAGTTCTTTCTCCTGTGGCTTGTCTGGAAATAACTTAACTGGTTGCATGGGAATAATCCACTTCGAAAACGGTGACAAAGATACGTTCGACGGGGAAGATGACCATATCTTGAAGTTCGATTTTGGATTGCTCGGACTACCTGAAGAATCTTTATAATAAATAGTGGCTCCATTCGTCGGTGGTTTTGCCGCCATCATTCGGCTCATTAAATCTTGCATAGCCGAAGAGATTGGAGGACCTACGGGACCTGCAGAATCTTTGGGCTTCTCCGTAGTTTCGGACCATTCGCCACCTTTTCGACTTTCGCAATCACACGAGCCACGTTCGCCACGCTCTCCCTTCGCACCTCTTGGACCCACCATACCATTTATGCCAGGAGGACCGGGAAGACCGGGTATAGCTGTTACTGTAGTCTCCCGTATCTGTGCCAATTTACCATCCATTTGGCCCAGTCTATAAAAGATTTCATTCTTGAATTTGTTAAAATCTTCCTCTGTCACCTAAGAAAAAGTTAAGATAAATTAGTGGATGCTTTACGAAAAATGAGTATTAGCACTGGACTATGTTATGGAAATCTGAAGGATTGAAATAAACGTGAAATTACAATATTTAAACACGAAAATCACTATAGTATTTCATTATGCAATACCGCGTCTCTTATCAATCGATCAGTTAAATAAACTGTTTTTGCAGGTCCAATTTTATCAGTATTATACATTTTTTATTACCATATCAACTCCAATAGAAGATGGAATGAGAAGCAGCCAAGTAGTTATAAGATAAAATATCATGATTAATTTCCTCTTTCGAAAATATATTTATAAAACAATCGAACTTAGTGGAAGCTTAGACAACGAGGCACTAAATCTATGTTCTGGAACTTTGAATGGTTTGGGGAGGCTGCTGCTTAGAGGTTTCTGATCTGCCGGCTGCCTCGTGTGTCACCTTATGACACCAATTATCAGTTCGCAATGCTATCTTTGCTAATATTTGCTATAAAGCCACACAATTTTGATTCAATTAAAAGAGAACATACGTATGTATGTACATACATGCATATACATACATTTGTATGTACATATATATGGCGAAGTGGTTAATATAATATCACTTTCAAAAACATACAAAATCCCTAGACCACGACTGATCTACGCCTCTGCCATGAGTGCTCATTTGCTTTTTTAAGTACTCGCTGCATATGAACTTGCTCGCCACTATTCCACTAACAATTTTTCGTTTTACCGTTTCCACCTCATTCCGTCGGTAACTGTAATGTATTTTGTTCTTGTTTCTTCCTTGATCATCTTCAAGCGCTTTGAGCGGTCGATATCCTATTCCGCTGATCATTTTTCGTTATACTCTTTCCGCCTCATTCCGTCGCTAACTGTAATGTATTTTGTTCTTGTTACACTTACACTGGTATTCATTCTTTATAACTTCTGTTTGCACTTTCGAGTTTATTTCGCAGTGGAATAGGCAAACTGTTTCTCTCTCTCTCAGTGCACATCTGCAAACCAACACAAAAACGTCACAAAATATGTGTTAGTAAATACTCTGCCGTAAGACAAACAACAAAAGTTTAACAACTCAGTAGGGCTTAGTATGTCTCTACACTAGCTTCCCCTAACAACATCATTTCTTTTTCAAACTTAATTTATTTTTTTATACACATTTTTTAAATCCGAAACTACCCATTTTCAATGTGAACTCTTATTTCGTTTACATATTCACCGGAATAATGTCAGACATGAGGAAAATCGCCGGCAATCTGAACGGCAAACATAACGCACTTTGACCAAACAAAGAACCCAAAACTCCCTGAGAAGTGACTTATGGGAACGGACAGCTGACCAAGTCACAGTCATACATATATCCCTATATTCTCGTCCATATCCGACTGCGTCTGTTAGCCAAATTCAATATGGGTGCGCGCATGCGCCGCTTCTTTTTAGACCGTTGTTGTTTTATTGGCCCCGACGACGTTGTTTTAACAAGAAACTTGTTAGTTGCAGCGGGTTAAAGATTTTCGAGTCTCTTGTACTTGGCCCTGTTGTTTGTTTGTCCGTCGCGACGTCGTCGGCTACTCGTTTCATGTGCTGTTAAATCTCTTTCCCCCTAGATTGTTCCTCGTTTTTATTTTTTTTTTTTGTTTTTTAACCAGCTGCCCAGTCAATTGATGTTTGCCCGCCTCATAAGCGACAGCACAACCCATTTGTCAGCATTTGAGGCAAACATTTTAACAAGACCTTTGGCAATGGTAAACCCCCTAAGATG